CGGCCGCGCAGGTCACCGTCGGCACCGGCAGCTCCCCTGCGGGAAGTGGGGGGCTGTTAGGAAATCCCCAAACCCCCCATTTAGCACGAAGCATAAAAAAAACCCCACCCCACGTCAAATACTAAAAATGCACTTACTGTACACGTGTAGGGTGAAGGTGATTTTTAACAGATTGGTATCTGCGACGTAGGTACCAGCATCATCCATCGTCAGCTGGGAGATGGTGAGCGCGGTGCCGTTCTTGGGGAAGGTCAAGCGCGGTTTGTAGTCTTCCTTCACAAACGCGGGATCAGGAGGATCGCCGAATATCACAGTTGCTATAGCATCATTTCCAAAGTTCCACGCCACGGACTTTCCATTCAGTCTCTCGAGCTGGAAGGTGACAGACTCGCCAACGGCCCGCACGGGATCAGGAGGATCGCCGAATATCACGGTTGCTATAGCACCATTTCCAAAGTTCCACACCACGGACTTTCCATCCAGTTTCTTGAGCTGGAAGGTGACAGACTCGCCAACGGCCCTGGTCATCAGCCCTTCCCCGATGTCAGAGCACACTGGGGAGAGAAGCCAGGGAGAAGATGCACAGCGAGCTTCAGGGCTGGCTGGTGAAGGCAGGAGGGCTCAGGAAAGGGTTGTCAGCCAAAAGGGAGCTCCTCGCCCCGCTGTGATTGCATGGCCTGATGTCATGGACGGGCTGATCTACGGGGGTCAGAGCTGATCGCCTATCGCGCGCAGGACCACTGTTAATTGCGGGTGAAGTCATAGAATCATAGAATGGTTTGGATTGGAAGGGACCTTTAAAGGTCATCCGTGCCATGGGCAGCAACAACTTTCACTACACCAGGTTGCTCAAAGCCCCATCCAGCCTGGCCTTGAACGCTTCCAGGGATGGGGCAGCCACAGCTTCTCTGGACAACCTGGTCCAGTGCCTCACCACCCTCATTGTAAATAATTTCTTCCTTCTATCTCATCTAAACCTCTCCTCTTTCAGTTTAAAGACATTGCCCCATGTTCCTTCGCTCCATGCCCTTGTCCAAAGCTCCTCTCCAGCTTTCCTGTAGCCGCTTTGGGTACTGGAAGGCTGCTGGAAGGTCTCCATGGAGCCATCTCTTCTCCAGGCTGAACAGCCCCAACTCTCTCAGACTGTCCTCCTAAGAGAGGTGCTCCAGCCCTCTGATCATTTTTGTGGCCTTCTCTGGACTCTCTCCAGCAGGTCCACGTCTTTCCTGTGCTGAGGACGTCAGAGCTGGATGCAGTGCCCTGGAGAGGGTCTCACCAGAGCAGAGTAGAGGGGCAGAATCCCCTCCCTTGACTTGCTGGCCAGGTTTATCTTTATGCAGCCCAGGAGATGGTTTTCTGGGCTGTGAGTGCTCACCCAAACCTTCCGGGGCATCCCTGGGGACGAGGGTGCACGCGGGATCACCAACACCAGCGAGCACTGAGGAACTGCAGGATTTAGGGGATTCTTTTTTGTTTTAAAGAAAGTAGTTTTCTCTAGGCTGAGGTCCCTCAGGAGGACCCATTCCTTCGCAGCCCCCTGAGGGCTCGTGAAGCAAGTGGCACCAGGCTCTCCTGCGGCCACGGGAGACCCATGCCACTTCCCACATGGAAGGGACAGAGCCTTGGGGTGCAAAATGACAGCACAAAGAGGAGTTTGCAACAGCTTGGCAAGTTCAGGCAGATTTTTCTGCAGCACTGAACCAAAGGGCCAAGCTCACCTACACAAGCAGGCAAGGAAATGGGTGGCCCCTTCCCCAGACATGCAGCTGTTTCGCCCCTATTCTGAGAAGGAGAAAGATGTTTCCTTCTTAGTTGTTTTACTTCTTGTTTTTAAAAATATGTGCTTCCCAGTCTGGGCTAGGGCAGAGGTTCCTGGAACAGGAACTCATCCTGGCTGAGCTGGGCAGCCTGACCATGAGACTGTCAGCTCTCCCTGGGGCTCCGCATTTCTGGTCTCCCCTGCCCAAACCCATGGAGCTGCCTCCGGGACATCAAGAACATCCGACCGCATGGCAGGAAATGTTGGTCGGGGGGATAAGCATGAAGAAGGATATCTGTTGAAACAGCGGATAAGGGCACTGGAGGGTTCATCTGGCAGCAGAACCCTCACCAACACTGCGGTGAGGAGGCTGGGGCAGAGCCCATTTCCCTTTGCCTGAAGAGAGGCAGAAAATGCCTCTTGTTCCAAAAAGCGCTAAATAATCCACAAAAAAAGAAGCTCAGGAGCATGGAAAAGTCAAAGACAACACGTGGCGGGGAGACCCCCCCATGTAGGAGACCACACGAGATCAAGAGGCCAGCAACAGATCACGCTGGGCATCTTTCACCCAACATTCTTGGAACAAGGATGGACATCCATCCCAGCGGAGCTGCACGTGGCACCGCTGGTCGCCCACATGCCATCCCTGTCCTCACTCTTCCAGGAGTCCCTAAAACCACCCTGAGCCCCTCATGGACTCCTTCCCTTCCACCACCAAGGGAAAACAAGCGCCTTGCACTTACTTGCTTGGAGGAGGAGAGGGAGGAGGAAGGTGAGCTGTGGGCACCAAAAGGCATCCATCAACCCGCAGTGCATGGAGAAGGGCTCTCCGCAGCAGCGTCTACGACGAGGTGTGGTAGCAAAAGGCAGATGCACGCAAACCGCTGCACTCACATGGTTTTCTCTTCTCTTCTGGTTGGTGGAAACCGTACACGTCATCCAAGGGCTGGTAACAGTCACGGGATTGGAAGAGATGGCAACAAAATTCCATGGTGTTGGGTGAAAACTTCAGCTGAAATACTCCATTTCCAAGCAAAGAACATCATCACGGCCACGTGTGACAAGTGTCCCAGCTTCTCTATGGAAACCACCCTTAAGAGAGGGGTATCGTGGAGACCATCGCAGGTCAGCACCTCGGAGAACGCTGGTGCCCATGGACCGATGTCACTGGGGCATCCTTCCTAAGGGATGCGGAGATCCAAACTCTCCATCCTCCCAAACTCCATCCCCCACTGGATGGCACAGCTGAACGACAACTGCAAGAAAAGCAGCCGCTTCCCTAATTTCAGATGATTCTGGGAAGTAGCATGACGCCGGCATCATACTGAAATTCAGGTGAGGGAAGCGTTCTGGACTAGCTGGGGATGTTGGGCTTTAAAAAAATCCTGGTTCCTCCACCCCAGCAAGGGAGTGGGTGGCTGCTGTCACCCCTAGGGTGCCACGGGAGGATGGGTGGCGGGATGTCTGAGGACACGGACTCACGTCTTTGCTCAATACCAAAGCACTAACATCGCTGAATTCCTAAAAAACAGCTCTTCTCTTTTGGGGGGATGATGAGAGGCACAAAGAGACAGCTTGGAGGATGAATCATCCCTTTGTCTTCTCCTCTGACCATCACCTGGGACCAAGGGAGGGTCTGTGGCTTCGTGGCTCAATGATTCTTCTCAATGGCAATATTAGGCAAAATTATGGAAAAAAAAGGAGGTGATTGGTGACAGCCAACATGGCTTCACCAGAGGCAGATTGTGCCTGACTGGCACTTGTCAAGTCTGGCACTTGGTGCCAAGTCTGGTGGCCTTGTACACGTTGGAGTACAGCGTGGGTGGATAAGGGAAGAGCAACTGATGGCATCTACCTGGACTTGTGCAAAGCATTTGACACCGTCCCACGTGACAGCCTGGTCTCCAAACTGGGGAGACACGGATTTGACAGACAGACCACGGTGGATAAGGAACTGACTGGATGGTAACAATCCAAGAGTTATGGTCAATGACTTGATATCCCAGTGGAGGCCAGTGACAAGTGGTGTTCCTCAGGGGTTGGTGTTGGGGCTGGTGCTGTTTAACATCTTTGTTGGCGACATGGACAGTGGGATCAAGTGCACCCTCAGCAAGTTTGCTGATGACACCAAGCTGTGTGGTGTGGTGGACACGCTGGAGGGAAGGGATGCCATCCAGAGGGACCTGGACAGGCTGGAGAGGTGGGTCTATGCAAACCTCACGAAGTTCAACAAGGCCAAGTGCAAGGTCCTGTGCATGGGTTGGGGCAGTCCCAAGCACAGGTCCAGGCTGGGCGGAGAATGGACCGCCCATTCTTCGCCCTGAGGAGAAGGACTTGGGGGTGTTAGGTGATGAGAAGCTCAACAGCAGCTGGCACCGTGCGCTGGCAGCCCAGAAAGCCAACCGTGTCCTGGGCTGCGCCCAGAGCAGCGTGGGCAGCAGGGCGAGGGAGGGGATTCTGCCCCTCTGCTCTGCTCTCCTGAGACCCCCCTGCAGCGCTGCCTTCAGCTCTGGGGGCCCCAATATCAGAAGGACACGGAGCTGTTGGAGTGGGTCCAGAGGAGGCCACAAAGATGATCCGAGGGCTGGAGCACCTCTGCTCTGGAGACAGGCTGAGAGAGTTGAGGCTGTTCAGCCTGGAGAAGAGAAGGCTCCAGGGAGACCTTCCAGTGCCTAAAGAGGCTGCAAGAAAGCTGGAGAGGGGCTTTGGACATGGGTGTGGAGTGATGGGACACGGGGCAATGGCTTTAAACTGGAAGAGGGGAGATTTCGATGGGATCTAAGGAAGAATTTTTTCCCTCTGAGGGTGGTGAGGCACTGGCACAGGTTGCCCAGAGAAGCTGTGGCTGGCCCCCCCCCACCCGCGCGTCGGCG